AAAAAAAAAAAAAAAAAAAAAAAAAAAAAGTTTCTCCAAAAAATCTGAAAAAAAAAATATGTTATGTAAAATAATAATGCAAACAACTTTTGCCTTGGAGGTATGGTCAAATTCGTAACCAAACTCAAGTTAAAAATAAAAAAACAAACAAAAAAGTTTTTTTTTGTTTTTAATATGTTCAGCCGAACACGTTCGGGTGGTGTTTAGCCGAACACCCGAACATGTTCGGACGTTCGGAAAAGCTCCCAACATGTTCGGTGTGCTACACAGGATTTGGGTATGCTCCTTCTGAAGGATTCTATGCAGAAGCAGAGCCAAACATCTTCTGGTCTGTTGTGACCCCACTCTCTCATAAGAACTCTTTCACCGAGTAACACCCATTCTTCACCGACGTAAAAAACAGGCACCACGAACAACCAGCCCCATAACTGAACTTAGTTTTTTCTCGTCGGGTCCCACATCCCTAGGCCGCTTTGTGTGTGTAGAAAGGTGAGGCGATTTTGGTTAGAAAACCCTCCTCTTGCTTAGACCCGGGCTTCCAAAGGATTCGAGCGATCAGTCTGCGAACTGCAATCAGTGTTCTCTGCAATCTCTCTCACTGTGCCTATGAACTAGAGGACCGAAAACAATGCCACATTTGCTACTAGTGCTCTACCTATTAATGACAGGTGTCATGCCGAGACCCAACGATTGAGTGTTGAGGCTATTTTGTTTAGCAGTGGTAGTCCCTGAGTAGAGACCTCAACCTGAAGATTGACTATGACACCGAGAAACCTTCCTTCTTCCCCCTCCTCTACTCTCTTCATCGTCTACCTTGTGAGCGCAGGGAAGACAACCATAAGGTAGCCAAAGCAATGAGAGCAAACGCTCGTGTAAGAGAGAGAGAGAGAGAGAGAGAGAGAGAGAGAGAGAGAGACCGAATGACAAAAATAAAATATGGCTCGATTGCGGCTGCGATCTATTGCTCGGTTGAAATTTTTTCTTTCAATTTTATTTAATATCACCAAAAATTATAAAAACTTCAATTTTTAGATTTTTTCACACATTCTTGTGAACGTGAAAAAGCATTGAAGTTTTAGTACTTTTTCCGTTGGCCCACATATGGTCGAGTGACAAAAATGGAAAATGTGTTAAATCAGCGAGGTGATTATTTCACGGTCTTCATAATTTTATTTTATTTTGTTTTATATTTTTCTTAGAAAGTCCATGACCTAATCTACGGTGTTTTAAAATTCAAATTTTTCTACGAATTTCTCTGAGTACAAGAAATCGTCAAAGTTGTCTTCTACAAATTACAGGACTAGACCCGCCAATCTGCGAGTATGACGGCCCTCATCCCTAGCGTAGTAGGCACATAGGGCGTCGTTAGGGAGGGACTGGAGAGGCGCGGCACGACCGGGAGCGTCGCGCCGCTCCGCTCCGCTATCGACATGAGCCGGCTTGTGAGTTGGTGGCGCCTTGTC